CAGAACCTCTTTTCGGCCTCGATTCTCTCGGTGATTGGCGCCAACTCGACGCTCAAGACGATCGCGCTCCAGAACGTTTTGATCTCGCTCGTGGCGCTTCCGGGCTACTACGTCGCGTGCTTCTTCATCAACAAGATGGGCCGCAAGCTTATCCAGCTCCACGGTCTCACGTGGATGACCATCATCTTCCTCGTCCTCGGCATTTGGTGGGACTCGATCAAGGACCAGAGCGCGCTCTTCATCATCCTCTTTGGCCTGACGCTCTTCTTCTCCAACTTTGGCCCCAACATGTCGACGTTCGTCATGCCCACAGAGATGTACCCGACGGCTATCAAGAGCTCGTGCCACGGCTTCTCGGCCGCCATGGGCAAGGCCGGCGCCGCCATCGGCTCGTACGGCTTTGCGCACTGGGTGAACAACCCGAGCTTTGGCTACGTCGGCACGTGGTACACGTTTTCGGGCATTTGCTTGTTGACGCTTATCCTCACGTGGTTCTGCATGTTTGACAACAACGACGGCGACATGTCCAACATTGACAACGAGTTCAAGGCCAAGCTCGCGCTCGAGAACGACGAGACGCGCAAGTCGTTCATTGCCGGCGAGGACGAGCATGAGTTTGACAAGGACTCGGCGTACGTCAAGGCCTAAGTTAGTAAAAGGAGCTAGTGTAGTGTCCCTCATAGAAATATATACCAACGTTGTTGTTTTCAATTGTCATTTACGGGCATCGAATGCAGTTGGCGCGGGTCTCGAGGATGGACTACCATAGATTATGAAATATGTTAACCCCCCTCAACGCCCAACTTTTTAAGACTACGGATCACGACATCGACTAGGATAGAGGACCACGAACGCCATCGGGGTCGACGACCGAGCATGAACCGCGCTTCTCGCGCCGTGCCTCCGCTTCGTGGTATTGTCGGACTGCGCGGTGGCGACGAAGGCGCAGAATCAAGGTCACAGCGGAACCGACGACCGCAAAACCACAGACGCCGCCAATGACGCCGACCGACGGCCCGTATGTCACCGTATCCAGGTCGTATTTGGTGCATCGGGGGCCCGTCCAGACGCCAACGCACTGACACCGGTGCTCCACACACGAGCCGGTGACGCTAGCGACAGCTGTACAGTCGTCGTTGGTGTTGCAGGAAGCGCGGCCAGCAACGGCAATGTCGGGGTTGTTGGGATCCGTGTAGTTGGTGATGTGCGCCTTGATGAACTCCTTCGTCGGGTGCGACGCCGGGTCGCAGCCGTAGCTCATGGTCTTAGTGTCTTGCCTAAAGACACCAATTGTGAGACGGTGTCACTACTTCAGAAGATGCGGACGCACCAAACGCGGATGTAGTCAATCTCGAGGTACATCGGGAACGCGTCGCAAATGTTCTGGGTCGCATTGTAGTCGTAGGTGCCTGGTGCTGGATGCGTTGCGTTGCCCCGGCAGCCGCCCACTTGAACGTTTGGTGGCATGGCGCCTAGTCACACCAGATGTCATATCGATAGGAAAGATCCTACTCCATACCCCACGCGGCCGACATGGCCACGTTGAAGATAAAGTAGCTCGGTTCTTCAATCATGAGTTTCTTGGGGTTCCGAGGCGTGCCCTGGGGCGGTGACGTGAGCGCTGACGCTGGGACTTCAAAGATCGGCGCCTTGTCGAGCATCCAACGGACGTAACCATCGTCGCCCGTGACCCTAGTTGAACCCGTAACGATATTGTCATCCAAGACAGAGACAATATGTACCACTCGAGCTGGTACTTGTAGAACGACGTGTATGCTTCGTAGCTGATGGGCCAGTTGGACGAGATGGCGTCCATTTGGTACTCGAACGGCTCCATCATCGACGTCGGCGTCTGCGCATTGGTGCGAGGTGCGTCACACTTGGGGTTTTGGCTGTCGCGGTCGCAGAGAAAGCCACCCTTGTAGCCGTTGGCGATCGGGAAGCACGTGCCGTTGTAGTTGATGCCCCAGTGCAGCGGCCCCTTGCCGTCAATCAAACCGAGGTCGGCATGTAAATCGCGGCCCGAGCTGATGGTCTTGATGTCAAACTGGTTGTCCTCGATCGGGCCGTTCTGCGCCGCGGCGACCGACGCCCACGCTTGTTTTTGGGTCGCGTCCGGTGCACATCGGTTGTTGGCGGCGTACCGGAGGCCTTGGTACCACGACTTGTGTCCGCGGGCCGCAAACGCCGACGTCGGGATGTCGGCCATGTTGGCACCGGGCGTCAAGCAGTCCTTGTTGTAGTAGCACGCCGTGTACCCGACACCGTGTCGCCCTACCGATCCGTATTGATTCCGATCCACATTCACACAGTAGAGTCGTCATGCCTTTGGAGTCTGTGTTGTTGGTTGCCTCGTACTTCATCGTGGCAGTAACCAGCCGGTACTCGTCGGGCATACCCGGCGCGATTTGAAGCGACGACGAGATGTCGCTGCCGCCGCCTTCGAGAATGTCAATCTCGGGGGACCCGCGACCCATGTTTGGGTGCAAGCCATACCCAGGGTTGGGGTTGCAGGCGCTAATGCGCTGGGACGAATCGTAGCGCTCATCGCACTCGCTGTAGGTCCACGGCCACATGCGGTTGGTCGACGCGGCAAAGAGCGCGCGACCCAGATTGCCCATCATCCAGAGACCCGGCCACGTCGGGTAAAACTTGATGTCGGGAATACGGTCGAGAAACTGGACGGGCACGTCCCGTTGGAGGTTGCCGTCCCAGCGCTTCCCCGTGATGTGGGGGTTCATGGACGCACGGGTTGCACCGGGCATCTTGGCAGCAATCTCGACAAACCCGCCTTGGATGCAAAACTTGTTCCATGTCTGCATCATGGCCGCCCGGTAGTACTAGTCGACATATTAGTTGCATGCACCATTGCTATATAGACAATATGTACCATCGTCTTTGTCGTCCACGACGGCGCATCCGACCACACGTTGTAGTACGTGACGTTGGTCTCGGTCGCGTCGACGCGGATCTGAAACGTGCCGTCGAGAGTGAGCGCATTCTCGGGGGTGTAAATGCCCACGGCGCGGTTGACGCCGTCGGGAATGTCAAGAGCAACCCAGAGATGGTCGTGGCCGGCGGTAAAATTGCGCCCATCCAAGTTGAACTCGTCGCTCATGATCAAGTCCCACGTATCGCCCCGGGAACTTGTCATGGTGTGAAACTCGGCCGGCGTCTCAACGTCGACCCACGTCTTGACGCCTGACTTGGTGGGCAGCGTCGGGTCGTTTTGATCGAGCGCGTCGACCGCACTCCAAGCAAGAAGCATGCAAATGCACGTCGTCGTACGACCCATCGTTCCGCGATGACAACGATGATCAAGTCGAAGAATGAATGGGAATTCAAGTATGGCGGTGGAATGTACGGTGCCTCGCACTTCATGGACGTCGCAGACGAACGTGTGGGTGACTGTTGGTCTCACACCAGGAGACGTCGCCATTTTTAAGTCTTTTTGGATCTATATACATGTCGTATGGAGATACCACTCTTGAAGCCATGTCGGACTATGCATTCCGTTCATTTCGTCGTAACGCAATCAATTTCGTACGAAAACTGTTGTCCATCGCAGAAACGAGATCAAAGTACTAGAAGAACAATTAAAGTACCGGTATGCACTTCGCGTAATAAGGACGCCAAGCACGCTCCTCGATAGACGACGTTTCCTCGTTCATTTTTCAAAGCCCAACATTGCCATCGGAATCAATGATATGAAAAACGCTACCCGCACGTAATTCCATGTCGCCGGATACGACTACGCTCATGGACGAAATAACGTCAACAATGCTTGGTTCTCGCACGGGCTCATAGAGCGGGTTGGTGACGCTACACGACGGTACAGCGTCGACCCAGTCGATACGTACGTGCTTGCTGGACGACCCCTGCCGCATTCGCACGTACCATTGGGGATATTAAGAGATGCAGTCTAGCATGTTGGTTGCTTTCTTCAGTCTATAGAAAACGTTTTCGCGCAAGTTGTGTGCAATGCAATTTGCCTTTTGTTCCGACTTTGAAGCGCTGACTGCTATCTTCAAGTCAACTTGTGAAGCGCTTATTTGTTTGCACAACGTGAGATGTACTCGCAATACATTATTAGTTTGTAGCATGCATTTCGTGTAATAGTTGCCTACACAGTTTGAAAGGTGAGAAGTACTTGGTGTGTACATGATAAATAAAATATTCTCTATATAAATTATTCCGTTGTTTAGTCATGAAATGACACAATGGCCGAGTGGTCTAAGGCGCTGGTTTTAGGCACCAGTCTTCGGGCGTGGGTTCAAATCCCACTTGTGTCATATTTTTGTTTGAGACCAAAACTTGAACTGAGATTTAGAAGAGTTTAATATCGATAGGTACACGGCTGGGTACACGGGTATGAGAAGACTCGGAAGTGCACCAAACAAAATCTACCAGAGAAGCAACATACCGGTAGGTTGCGGCACGTATACCGGCAATTCATACGAGGCGATGCACAAGCAACCCTGATTCGAAAAATGCGCAAAGCGGACAAAGACCCTAACCCTGTTTGTGTGGAACAAATCCATCAACGGCCAAATGCACCACTCGGTTGGCTACGCGCTCGATACGTGCTTACCGGTGGCAAATTCCATCCAGCGCCTCTTCACACATGAACGCATATTTTCTTAAAATAATGTACACGTTGTGTTATAGTTTTACGAGAGTGTTTCTAACTGGCGACTCGTTTACGCCTTTTCGTAGGCGGTGGTGGCACCGACGTCGTGCTCGTCTTCGCCGGCAATGAACGACTTGCGCGTCTCGTCGTCCTCGAGCGCGAGCTTGGCCTTGAACGCGTTGTCCATGACGCTGGCCTCCTCGTTGTTGTCAAACATGCAGAACCACGTGAGGATAAGCGCCGCCAAGCAAATGCCCGCAAACGTGTACCACGTGCCGACGTAGCCAAAGCTCGGGTTGTCGACCCAGCGTGCAAAGCCGTACGAACCGACCGCGGCGCCGGCCTTGCCCATGGCGGCCGAGAAGCCGTGGCACGAGCTCTTGATGGCCGTCGGGTACATCTCCGTGGGCATGACGAACGTCGACATGTTGGGGCCAAAGTTGGAGAAGAAGAGCGTCAAGCCAAAGAGGATGATAAAGAGCGCGCTCTGGTCCTTGATCGAGTCCCACCAAATGCCGAGGACGAGGAAGATGATCGTCATGAAGGTAAGACCCTGGAGCATGATGCGCTTACGGCCCATCTTGTTGATGAAGAAGCACGCGACGTAGTAGCCCGGAAGCGCCACGAGCGAGATGAGGACGTTCTGGAGCGCGATCGTGTGGAGCGTCGAGTTGGCGCCAATCACCGACAGAATCGAGGCCGTGAAGAGGTTCTGGGCGTAAAACACAATGTCAAAGAGGAACCACGTGCCGGCCGTGCCGAGGAGGCTCTTGCCGTAGTGCTTGAGGATGAACGACCAGCGGATCTTCTGGACATGGACTTCTTCGGCCATCATCGTCTTGTACGCTTGGGTCTCTTCGGCCGTGATGCGGTAGTAGACAAGGAAGAGCGCCGGGAGAACACCGATGCCAAAGAGCACGCGCCACATGATCTCGAGGTTCTGGGTCGTCGGGTCCAACGCGTTGACCATGATCAAGCCAAAGACACCAGCAATGAGGAAGCCGACACCCTGCAGCGAGAACGTGAGCGCGACGCGGCGGTTGCGGTCGGCGGTCGACGTCGCATCTTCCGACGACGACGACGCAGCCAACGGGTACTCGCCACCGATACCGAAACCGAGGATACCACGGGCGACAACGAGGAACCAAAGCGTGCCGAGGGCCGAGCCGCCATACGCCGCCGCACAGAGGATACCGCCGACGATGAGGAGCGCGCAGGTGGCGATCATGCAGTTCTTGCGGCCGTACATGTCGCCGAGGACGCCAAAGACGAGCTGGCCGAGGACAGCGCCGATGAGCGCCGACGTCGAGACGTTCGACTTCATCGAGCTGTCGAAAACGTCCTTGCCGTACTGGTGCTCCAAGATGACGTTCACGATGTTGATGACCGAGAGATCGTACGCATCGTTAAAGAAGCCGAGACCGCGGAGGAAGAACTTGTTCACCATTGGTGCGCGGGACAAATGAAAATGGTGAATGGAAAACAGAACGCGGCTTCCGAAACAAGCGCCGGGTGGTGCAATCGATTCGTGGTCGGATTTCGCAACCCATGCTCCAGCAAGCTCCGTTGGCTGTCATATTCACACAACTTGGTGCTACTATGTAGTCGAATCTGGCCAAGATGTCACGCCGTCTCGCCCTAGGTGAGAAAAGGTGTTGATGAAAGGGTAAGCGACACGTATCGTGGCGCGGAAACAGTGTCGACCAATCCGATCGTGCATGTTCTTGAATGCGCCAATCAAATGTCTTGTGGCCAACCATGGGCCAATAAAAATGGGTTTTCACGTGTCGCGCGAAATGTCCAAGGACGGCCCAATCAACATGGTTTCATTTTTCGATGCACCAATCACAGCGCTCATGATTCCATAATAGACCAATCAAACGCGTGGAACGTCGCGTCTGCATCTTCGCCAGACGCTGACCAAGACCGCCTGTACGCGGTAGATCGAGGCGCCGGCACCAGTCGTTTGGGAGGATTGCTTGAGGACCGCGCTGGCGTGGTCGACGGAACCCATTAGCATGGGTGTGGCCACGCCACTCCTCGCTGCAACCAAAAGCATTGAATTCCAAAGTGAGTTCTGGAACGAACCAACGAGCGGCCGTTGCGCGACCGTGCTGCATTCGTGGTGACGACCATGCGTTATAACACGACGCTGTACCCAGTCATAACAGTGTTAGAACCCTCGATGCGTTCCGGCGATCACCGTCAAAACAGGTTCGATGACCTTCTGCCTTGCTAGCTGGTGCCGGCATGCCATCGTTGGTTCCGTCGTGGGATCGCAATGTGATGTGGACAGCACATTCAAAAAGTACCGCCGCTTGCAATCTGGGCCGTGCCAGCTCCGACGGCAGAATCAGATTCGAGGTCCATTGAAGATTCCTTCCTGGATCGGGCCTTCCAAAGACCCGCGTGACAGAGTCCATCCGTTTGGGATATCGTTCGTCCTCGTCGCAGGCGCCGTGTCTGCTGTGTGTTGACCTCGACTCAAAAGTCTAGAGCGGCCAAGCAACGTCATCGTTCCGAAGGTGCCGCGAGGAGGCGCACGCACCGGTCATCGTAAACGCTATAGGAAGGGCATAGACACCCTTGGCTGCAGGACGTGCCCCACACACGGTACACTGGTGCGATGCAAGTCTGCAGTAGGACGCTGTCAACGCTTTGGCATCCATATTCTATCTTGTTGAAAACGCCACCAGCGTTGCCAGCGCTTTGCTGTTGAGCAAACGAATCTTGCGTCGAATCTTAGGGATAGGCTCAGATCCAACATGAGCATTTCAACGGTATGTTTTGACTTGGACGATCCAAGCGCCGTGGTCATTGTGACCGTGCCAGGCAGATGGTGCCCTTCTGCACCGAACCACGACCAGCTCTCAGTTTCGTGTGCCGCGATCTCAAACGAGAGGCTGCTTCCAAAGCAGCCTAAGCAGTGCTTAGCTCTGAGACCAAGTAAATATGTTTTTGCTTTCCGTGTTGTAAGAATGCCCGTTGATACCTATCGTATCAAACCTCGGCAACGAAAACTACCAGTACTTGCATACGAGAGCGAATCTGAGTGCGTCCGAGCGAATCGAAGTGCGTCCGTGCTCTAGTGACCGACATGTCCGTAGTATGCATTGTGAACGAGGTGACTCTGTCGCTTGTTTGCTCGAGCATTTCCGCGACAATATCTTCTCCACTTGGAGCACGTCCAAGAGTCATCATGGCGATGATGGATGCGGTTGAATGCTTGATCCAACACGGTTGCCCGTCATAGTATCCTTTTCGGGTGTAAACCGTAAGCATGGCGGGTAGATAACGCTCTCAACGGCGCTGATTTCGCCCACTCGCCACCACGCAGCCTCCAATTATAATACTAGTACATCTTTGGGATGGCGACCATCGATACCACGCAGCGCTTGTGCGAACGTGCCAAGGCCGCCGACGAGGCCGGTCAGCGCGAGGCTGCCATTGCCCACTACGACGACGCGATTCAAGCGCTGCAGCAGCAATATGCGTCCATCGCACGAGGTAGACAATCTTGCACTGTGGCAAGCACATCATTCGCACACGTTGCCTCGATAGACGACACGGCGAGCAAGGTGCGCGTGGCCACGGCGCTGCAACACTGCCACGACCGACGCCTCACCCTCCTACAAATGGAGGCACCACGCATCGAGATCACGCCGCGGACGCTCCAAACCGCCATGGCGGTGCAGTCGGCAGCAACACGTACTCGATCATTTGCCACGTCGACGAGGATTTATTTACCAGTGTCGGGACAGAGGGCGTTCACAAGGCGGGCGGCGGCAAGACCGTGCTCGGGTCGGCGGCGGCCGGCGCTGGCCTTGGACTATGCGTCGCGGGACCTTTGGGTCTCGTGGCCGGCGCCGTCGGTGGCGCTGTGCTGACGGCCAAGGACGGCGCGGTATTTGTACTGGACGAGCAATTCCCGTGGCTGAATGTACTACTGTAGGTGACATTGCGCGAGCGACGGGCAATCTCGTCGTGGCGTCGTATGAGATCGCCAAGGGCATCAACAACACGTACCACGTGACAGACCGCGTCAAGAGCGCGGCCCCATCGCGACGGCCCAGGAGCTCGACGCCAAGTACAAGGTACCGTCCATTCAACAGTTGGCATCACAAGGTGTCCACTGTGGGTAGATCAAGGACACGACGGCGAGGTTGCTCGAGACGGGCCTCAAGCATGCGACTGTCGTCAACGAAAAGTACCACCTCACCGATTGCGCGGCGAAAGCGACGGTGAGCGGCATAAACAAAGCATCCGAGATTCTCCGTGACAAGCAGAAATAGAGAATAGAAAAGACTAGGACGGGAGGGTTAACGCCAATCCTACAATCCTACAGCAGACATTAAATTCAATGTACCCTTGGATACTACTACCTGCCAAATCCCGCAACGTCGCGCCGACGCAGTTGCAACGACAAGAATCAAAGTTGCGTCGGCCCTAAATTCCCACGACACAAATCGTCGAGCACACCATCGTTTGCGCGGAACGCTGTACGAAAACGAGAGGCGACCGCCTCCACACATGACTTGTTTGGTATTTACGCAATGGGCGTCGAGGGATCCTCGGTCGTCGCGGCAATCTCCTTGGCAGATTCCTCCGTCGTTTTGTCGACCTTTTCCGTTGTTTCGCCGACCGTCTCCGTTGTTTCGCCGACCTTCTCCGCGGCGTCGGCACTCTCGGAGCTCTCGACGGCGTCGCCCGTCGGCTTCTCGCCGTCCGTGGGACCGTCGGTGGCAGCGTTCGTGGTCTCGTCCACCTCGTGGGCCTCCGTCTTCTTCGCCTTGCTGGTTGCCTTGGTCGACTTCTTTGCCGGTGCCTTCTTGCCGCCCTTCTTCTTCGGGGCCGGCTTGGTCGTCACCTCGGGCGCCGCGTCATCAGCCTTTGCCGCCTCTTCCTCTGTCGGGAGCGTAAACGTGCTGGCATCTGCAGCAGCGTCCACGTCATATGAAAGAAGCAGGCCATGGACGTACCCGTGTACGCAGGCATAAAGTACTGCTGCTTGCGCTTTTGCAGAAACTTGAGCAGCTGCACCATCGTCGCCTGGATCAAACGGCTGTCCTAGAGACAGTGGCATTTTGGTATACCACTCGTATCTTGTGGCGAGACTACCTCGGCCGAGAGGCTGGCTTGGACGCACGACACGAGCAGCGGCAATCGCGCTAGATGATGTCTGTGATGCGCAAGGTCCGCATACCATTCGAGGTACCAAAGAGTCGGAGGAGATGCTCGCCACCATAGATCGTCGCAAGCGGTCTATTACCACATGAGTGCCATGGAAACACACAAGAGCGGATTCACGTCGTCGGGTGGGCGGCCAGGATCATGTCGTACTGCGCTCGCTCGTCGCGGTAGAGCAAAATACGGCCCACGGCCTTGTTAAAGTACGTCACGAGACCCTTGATAATCTCTTGCGTCGACTACGCATCGGGTCAATCGAGGTGCAGAAGCAGGGTCGATACCTCGCGCTCGGTCGCTTGCTTCTCCGTGAGGTCGTCTTGCGTCAAAAAGTCGTCGATAATCTAGAGCAAAAGGTACGTATTTGTGGGCCCATTCTATGTGTGTTTTGAGGGACCTGTGACACGGGCGTCTTGCGTGGCAACGCAATCCAGCGCTCTTGCTGCGTCACATTCTACGCACGTTTGACTCGACGCACGAGACGAGGCGATATATGCGCACCTTCCAGTCGTCGACGAGGATCTTCTTGAGCGCGATCGGGATCGGGATCTGCACGTCGACAGCAACGACAAACTACATGCGTTGTTGTTAGCGCAGGAACATGCACACCGCAGCGTCGTACGTCTTCGAGTTCGTGCGAGCCCTCGACCTTGATGGCCTCGAAAGGGTTCTCCACCTTGTGCTTCTTGCTCGCGCCTTGCTTGGGAAGCGGGCCGTTGGCTGCGAGACGCTTCTTGGCCCCGCCCTTTTTTTGATCGATTCGCATTCTCATCGCACAAGGCGTCGCCTACCTTGGGGGCCTTCTCGGCGTCGTCCTTGGCCTGCTTCTGTAGCGCGCGCGAGGCCTCGCTCGTGTCGAGGACGCGGTCGGCCCGACCCACTCGTCCCAATTTTTCGACCACTTGAGGTAGTGGACAAAGTACTGCGGCGTGGCGCCTACACCGCCGCCCTTAGCCGCGAAGGGCCCACGCGACACGTACTGTCCGGGTCCAGGCGCAGCACGCGCGCGTCGTAGATCTGCACGCCGTGGCGTACGAGGACCGTGTCGTTGACCGCAAACACCGTGGTCGTCGCCGCCTTCGTCATATTGCTCGTGCTGAAAACCAGAAATGTTGGCCTCTGGCGCGGTATCCGGTTTCCGGACCACAGAACAACAAGACAAGCCCCCGCACCGCCGCTTACGCAGCCACAGCCCGGTGAGCGAATGAAGAAGGAGATTGCTGGAAAGCAAATATAAATGGAACCATATACGATTACAATTATCACTCGACAAGGAGACGTGTCTGTTTACGCCGTCGGCGCGCACTGCGGACGCGATCGGAGGCTCGGCGTCGCGGGCGCCGACGTCAAATAGGCGACAATGTTTTGGAACACACCGCCGGTCGTGGATGGCGTGTCGACTTCGGTGCCCACGGCTGTCGGCGCCGGCGTAAAGTTGTACGCTGGCAACGTGTTGTCGTCGGTGGCCGGTTCCGGCTCGGATTTGTGGGACCCCGTGGAGATGCCGGCAAAAATGTTCGACACGATCTGGGCGGAGACACCCGCGTCGACGCCCAGTTGCTCGATTTGCTGCTTTGTCTCGCCCTGACCGGCAGCAACAGCGATCTCCGCGGCGACCCCCGGCGGAATACCGGCGTCCTCGCTGTTCGAAATGATCTTTTCGGGCTCGTCGACCTTTTCAATGTTGGCCGCGCTGCCAGGGGTAAGCGCACTCAGCGTCGAGGCGATGATGTCAGCCTTCAATGAGCCGACGCCGTTGTTCTTGATAATGTCGGCAATCTCGGCCTCAGTCGCGCCGGTTTGGATCGCGACTGCGAGCACCGCAGCTTGCTCGGGGCTAGCGCCTGTGCCTTCAGCAGCGTTAAACACAGCCTTCGTTTGGGCGGCAAGCGACCCCGTACCAGAGCCGTTGCTTGAGACCACAGCCGAGGCAATGACAATGGCATCCTTTGGGGAGACACCCGCCGCAAGCGCCGCACTGAGGATGCCAACTTGACTGGCACCGGATTCCACTGCTGTGGCAATGATGGCGGCTTGGTTCAAACTCGCACCCGAATCCAACGCAGTTTGAATGACAACGGCGATAGGTGCCGGGGTTGCAGCTGCTTCCGCCACAGCGGTAGCAACCGTTCCTGCAAGGGCTGGTGCAACGCCAGCGTCAAGCGCGACGTTTACAAGATCCGTACCCGTGACACCCGACGACGCGGCATCGGCCACAGCGGCTGCTTGCAGCAAGGAGGCACCCGCGTCATGGGCGGCGGCAATGATATCCGCGATCGGAGCACTGGTAATAGCATCGGCACCGACACCCGCCGCCAAGTCGGCCGCAGCAGCAACGGCGCTTGCACTTGACGACTGACACCGACGGCAATAGCCGTTTCGACGATAGCGCCAAGAGTAGCACCCGTGTCGGCCGCGACAGCGATGACAGCGGCTTGCTGGGACGTGGCACCGGCTTCAATCGCCGCCTGGATGACTTCAAGCACCGGGGCCGGCGTGGCATTCAACGAACCCGCCGTCGACTGCGTGAACGACGACACGGCCGAGACGACCGCCGACACAACCGAGAGCGGAGCACCGGCCTCGATGGCCGCGATCTGCACTTCAGCAGGCGAGCCACCCGAGTTGACGGCAACCGCAATGGCAGCGGCCTGGCCGAGGCTCGCACCCGAGTCGAGCGCAGCCTGGATGATCTCGATGATGGGCGCAGGCGTCTCAACCGCAATTTCGACAGCAGCGGCGATGTTGACGGCATCCAGCGCGTTGACACCGACCTCCAAGGCGACGGCAACGAGGTCGTTGCCCGAGACGCCCGACGACGCGGCATCGGCCAGGGCAGCAGCCTGGGTCAGCGACGCACCAGCCTCCTGGGCGGCCTCGATGACGTCGGCGATAGGAGCAATGGTGATGGCATCCGCACCCACACCCGCCGCCAAGTCGGCCGCAGCAGCAACGGCAGTAGCGACAGACGGACTGACACCGACGGCGATAGCCGTTTCGACGATAGCGCCAAGAGTAGCACCCGTGTCGGCCGCGACAGCGATGACAGCGGCTTGCTGGGACGTGGCACCGGCTTCAATCGCCGCTTGAATGACGTCAAGCACCGGTGCCGGCGTGGCCGTGGACGATGTTGTAGTTGGGGACTGGACAAGGATGCCGGTGACAGTGTTTGTGCTGAGCTTGATGTTGCTTGTCAAGGTGTTGGTACGTTGAGCGTGGACATTACGGGCAGCGACAAAGAGAAGGCCGACAACAGCAACACGCGAGAGTCTCATAGTTGATAAACGACGGAAGATAAGTCACAGACGACGGACGGAACAGAGAACGCGATGTACTCTCGGGGTTGCAAATTGCAAGATGAATGTGTGAGAGGTGCTGTTGGAGCTTTGTATGGCATCGAAGCTTGCATAGAAGAACTCAGTACAATCTATCTTGACCTCGGAGTTATGTTTCGATGAAACTTGTTCGAAGGATACGGTCGGGGCCAGCGATCCGATATACAATGATCAAGATACGTCAATCTTGCTGCGTGACTGTTGAGGCGTGGAGCAAATAGAGCTCTAGCTCCGTGCAACCGATATGAAACCTGCGATAGCCCGCCCATTGTACACAATTTCTCCCACCATTGCAATGTATGCATCGCCATCATGGTTCTACATGTAGTACTCATACATTGGTAGCTTCTTTGCCAGCGCTAAATGCATATATGACATACACCTCGGGTTTTATCGTTGATGTGTCAATTTGTTGGAAATCATCATCGATGCAACTCAGTGGATGCAACTGGCGATTCGACTCGATAGCGTTTGCATGTTGACTTCATGCGTTGGCCCCGACTCCAGACTCGTACTTTGCAGGTTTTATGTGACTAAAGGGCAATGTAGTCTGGCGAAGTACGTACATCCTACATCATTTTGGTTCTCGGCGTTGATGATACATGTAAACACTCATAACCCAAGCTTTTGCGAACATGGGCGAATACCTCTATAAATGCATATGTACTCTATAAAATGATATCACAGGCACCCTGTAGCGCGACGGGAAAAGAGGCAATAGGGCTTCATAAGTAGCGCGGCGACACGAGAGAAATGGAGAATATACAATAGTGCGCATGTTAGTAGTGCTGCTCTCACTTGGTCTTCAGTACAATGCCGTAAAACTAATGTAGCTCATCTCATTGACACGACCATTCGTCAGGTGTCATCAATTGCATCATGGTCCATGAAGGGTTCCAACTTTTCAACCGTAGCCCTTGCCAAACGCTAACACAAATAATCAATGAGGTGGAGAAAGTCTTATCGGACTGCATGGATGTGTACGTACACTTCAGCGTGGTGCAGAGATCTTGCGCTGTGTCAACCGTGGCTTCTTTGTGAAGGTACACAAGGGCGCTCGACGCGTTGCCAACATGCGACGCCGATGTATGTTGACGGGGTACGAGCGGCACACCGCGCTTGTCGTACTTGATGGACATATACCACAAGTAGGCTCGAGCGACGTCTGCCGGAAGCGGCAAAGTGACGCTGTCGTTACTGACGAGCGTGGCATGGTGCACCTTGAGCCACTACACGAGGCGCTTGTTCAAGACATTGTAGCGATTCACGGTGCTCTTGACACGGCAACCAGCAATGATGCCGGCGCCCGTCTAGTCCTCGTCGGAATCTGCCGCGTCTCGCGGAGTAGTGTAGAGTAGAATCCTCCTTGCAATAGAGGTTTGTTCAGTTGTAATACGACAACACGGACATACGCGTACCTCGAGTAATGCTGTCTTTGAGGCGGCCTTCTGTGACTGCGGGATCACCACCGCTGACACGTGCTCGGTCGTCGCTGGCTCGGGCTGCTCGGCTCGGCGGCAGCAGTCACTCGCGCCACCTTGGCCTTCCGCTGCCTTTTCGCCGGGCGTGCGCTGTCCAGCTCCGTGGACACGCCAACCGCTGTCGTTATTGGTGGTTCTGTGCTGCCACCGACCGCCGCTGCCGCCGTGGTCGTCGATCTTCCGCGCCGTTTGGACGCTCGGCTTTGACGCCCTGCCATTCTGATTCTGACGCCACATGTGATGTGGATCACTTTTGCGCTGGATGCGTCCAATACAAATTGCAAGTTAATATTCCTGATGTATCCGTAAACGTGAGGAATGTGAGATGGCCGGGCATCCCATACAAAACCAAGTCAAACCACTGCCTTGCATGTAACATATCTCCGATTTGCGGAGCAAAAAGTTGCGCTGGGGCTTGAGGCGCCGATGCAGATTGCCGGAAATATTCGTAAACCTATGCGAAGGATCCATTTCACACAATTGCTAGACGAACACCACGGATGTTGCAGCAGAGTATGTCTTTTACACTAGACCGCGTCGTACGCATGGGACCAAGAGTACATAATTAACGTACTCTAAGTGGGACCCACCTCCAGGTGTGGACGCCGCAATTTCGTCGTCGTCGTTGTCGGCAGCGTGCAACTTGAACGGGCCATCCAGGCACCCAAGACCACCGTCTCGACCACGATCCACCACGCCACGCGGCGCCGGCGAGGAGGTGCATAGATCGGGTCCAGCGCGCCATCGTCACTTCACTACCGCAGTGCAGCATGACAACACCGCGTCCAAGGTACTGCTAGCATGTACCGGCGACTAAGTAATGATGGCCCACCAAAGTTGTTTAAGCGTGCGGGGCCACTGCGCCACGTTTTCCTCATACTCGTCACCGACTTGGTTGACGCTCTGCGTTGGCTTGGCACGGAACGTTCGCAGCGTAATCGATATCGTCGACTGCGTTTATGTGATGATCAGCAGAAGGCAGTGATGACGAAGGTCCATAAATACATGTATATCTGCATGTATATGGACCCTTAAGAGTAAAAGAAAGTTGCATCTCGAAGTTCGTTCGCGTCCACGGGCAAAATGTGATGCATTGGCGCGACTCTGCTGCCGGGACGGAGCAGGTGCTGGAGCCGGCGCCCGTTTGAAAATCCGTGGATGCTACCATTTCGCCGGATGCGGTTAACATATTGCGCGTTGTCTAATAAAGCTACATAGCCGGGCGATGTATGGTGGGTGACCTTTCTGGCCTGCAAAAGCATGTCTGTGTCTGTGGGCTTCTGTGAGCTCTGTGTCTGCCAACGCACCATACATTGTGGTTAGCTAAAAACACGCCAACGAAATCGATCAACGCCGTTTTTGTATGCCACTCGGAACAGCCGTTTGGAACTCGGGTGTGAATAAACAATTAAATATGCGTGATTTTAGTCGCATTCCACAGCGGCTTCCATACGTTGACATGTGAATTTTGGTTTTGGACGAGATGCGCGAGCTCGTGCTGGGCGGCGCCGACGCCATCGCCGACAGCTTCTTGACGCCCGGCGTCGCCGTCGACATCGTCGTCTGGACCGACGCAGTGCAGTATGAGGTCCGACGAGCCGCCGCCGAGAAGCCCCGGTCTCTCACGTGCACGGGCGACGAGTACATTGCACAGCTGCATGAAGCCTTCCACGCTGGCGCTGGCGGCTTGCGCATCACTGGCACCATCGCGCCCGCATCGATTGCGCTGGTTCTAGACGAGGCCCACGCAGACATGCACCTCCGCTTCGACGCGCTGACGCTCACGGCCGTGGCCGTTCCGGCGGCGCACGTCCATGGCGTGGCACAGCGCTGGCACAGTGCATTCATGACAACGGTATGCGCTTCGTGTGCGGTACCCTTCGTGTAACATTTGACTGCGCAGGCGTCGTCGCTTGCTGCAGCACAGGCACGTATCGCCGCTCTCGAAGCGCTCGTGGCGGAGAAGGACGTGGTCTTGGACGCGGCGATACAGGCCAAGGTTGATGGCGAGGCGCGCTTGGTGCAGCAGTGTCTTTTGCTCGTCAATGCAAAGAAGGACATGATTAGACAGCTCCAAGACCAACTGGCGCAGGTGCCAGAGCCGTCACCGTACGTTCTCGCGTCGGCGCAGGCAGACGCACTCACGTACTTACATTTACCTAGATCGCCCAAGCGCCGGCGAAAAACACCCGCGCCAAAACGGGCGACCAAGCCGAAGCGGGCGGTCGTGGAATCGAGCGCCAGCGACGACGACGACGGCGACTCGGAGGCCAGCGTCGACTTGCCGTTGCACTCAGGTTCGATGGTGCTTTCGATTCGTCGAGGTCTCATGGTGCGAGGCAGACGACGGCTCGGACCACGACGCGCCGGCGTCGGCTGCCGATATGGGCAGCCAGGCGTATACTACCGCGCTGCCACAAAGCACCAGTCAGTTCTATTCGGCCGACCAGCTTTTGAAAGAAGAAGAGGAAGAAGGAGCTGATATCAAGGCTGCTGCTCCTACCTCGTTACTTGGCCACAGCGACGACGATGCTGACTTTTTGGATATGCTATAATTGTCATTCATAGTAGCATTCCATCGCGTTTGGCAAGGGAACCAATCCTTGCACATTTCGGTTGCTTCCGAGCTACGACGGGACAAACGGGCTTACTGATTCTAGTTTTTAGTTGAGGTTGATACTCCGTACGTAGTTACAGGTAGCACACATGGAACGTTCGGACGTACTCTCGGCTTGCACCACCACGAGCACAGCAGGGGCCGGTTGTCATTTTGTGGGGGTTGCGTCTGGAGGATCGGAGGCGTTGAAGTGACTAAATATGGCTATTTATGGTATGTGCCATAAGTTACGGTTTGGCTGATTTCTCTGGCTGTAGGTCTCCGAAATCGATGCTACGTTGCATTTCGTGCACCCCAAGAGCTCTTCTGTCGCTCAGCGAAGTAGGGACGTTTTCGTATCCGAGTGCTTTGGGGTCGCCAAGCGGCCTCGAATCAGTCGAATCTCCATCGTCCTTGAATTTGCCCAAGGGGATTGGCTGAAACTAAGTGAAAACAGCCAATCAAACGATTTAAATATATATTGCATATTGCATACTGGGATCAAGTCTACCTGATCAAATATATTATTGATGTTGACCATTCTGCGACGGCAGAGCTGCCGGTATCTACGTTGATGCCGGGAGGGAAGATTACGAGGGCATGAAGGCAGCACACACATATGCAAGATCATCGCAACTGGCCATCAACGGCTCCAGTACAGTACTCCACCGAGGATCCGACGACGGCGACGATAGTTTGGCGAACATAGATGGTATATGTAATGTGGCATATGCCGAATATAAAATGCGCGACCGCGATTGGTCGGATTGACAATCCCGTGCAAAACCAAAAAAGGACAGCGCATCGGTGGCATGCCATTCCCACTTTCGACCTCGATGGCAGCCGTGGCCGTAGCAGCGCTGGCAGGCGACTGGGACGCCGTGTCCTTGGCGATGCCCAAAGGCCTCGACTACAGCGCAGTGATCGAGCCCAAGGTACCAGCGCCTGCGTCCCAGGAGCTCACGCACACGACGTAGACAGGCTACACGCTGCTGCACTTGGCGTGCCTGCACAACCAACGCGCTGTCGTGCAAGCGCTACTGCGCCAACCGCAGCTCGACGTCAACGCGACCGACTACGTACGCTACAGCGAATCTACGGAACCTGACGCGCGGTCCATGTAGACCGGTCAGTCGGCGCTGCATGTCGCGTGCCACTACGAGCTCTTGGACATTGTCGAAGACCTCTTGGCGGTGCCATCTCTATCGATCGACCTCCAAGACAAGGACGGGTACACGGCGCTGCACGTGTGCATGTACCACAGCCAGCCCACATGTGCGACGCGCCTGCTTGCCGCCGGTGCCAACCCGCGTCTGCGCTCCACGGTAACAACGAAACAAAAACAGAAATGGAATTGACTACATCGAGATCGTTACAGGACGGAGAGACACCAAGCGCCATCGCAAGCGCGCTCGGTAAAGACGGAATGCTGGTGCCATCCGTCGACGCGCCGTGACGCATACCAAGAGGATAACCACGCACATCTGTAGCTCTGCTTTTCACAGACGCCTCGTGGTCCTCGGCGGTTTTAGTCTCTTCATAACAACACAAAATTCCTAAATCTGACGTCATTCGCGTGATGCTCCTACCGCATAAAAACTGCGATCGACGGGGCGATACGTGTAAGACTTACGAGTTAATCGAGGCATGAACGCCGCCGTAGCCAACGAGCGGTGCTGGCCACTCCCAGCTCGTTGCAGTCACATACCGGTACTCGTGAATAAGAATAGTATGTCTCTTTGTTGTGTGAAAGTGTTGCTTTTGTACGTGTTGATCAATCATTACATCAGTGAGATGGGTCGAAGCGACGTCAAGAATGCCCACTAGCGTCGCCACCACGGACGCCGCTTGATGCGCATCGGTATCGGCGCTACGTACGCCGACAAGTGTGGCTCCAAGAACTCGTTGATAACCGGGTCCAGTGCCGTCTCGACGTAATCGTGGATCGCGCACTCGAGCGGCGCGTGATACAGCTCAACGGCATTTTGGATCGTCTCGGCGAAACCAAACCGCTTGGTCTGCACTTTGGTCGCCGAGCGCATCTCGTAGGCGCGGCCGAGGATCTCGATGAACTGCTTGCGCTGCGACCGTCGCTGCTCCGCGGCATCGAGAACCTCTCGCTTGATCATGGCTGGTGTCGCCTTGCGCGGTCGAGCCCGGGGTTGGTGGAGAAACGGGCCTCGAGGCCAGACCCGGTTCACATGTGGCGATACGACCATGCGCTCGGTGGCGCCTTCTCGGCAACTATCAACGGTAGCACTGCGCCCGATCTTACTTAAATGTTGCGTCGGAGACTCGGGTGCCGGGCTCACGGCCAAGTGTCGACAAAGATGCGACGGAAAAATGGATCGTTTTGTCAACGCCTCGCGTCTCGACGCCGACTCGCCAGTGAGCGTCGAGACGGTTTGGCTGGTTCGCAACACGTGTTTCAACGGCGCGACACCCAGCCGCCCAGTCGTCGGGTGAATCTCAAAGAGGTACGTGTACACGCGCTCGAGACAGTCGCTGATCCGGTACACGTGCGGCCAGGCGGCCAGCGCCACCTCGACGCTCTCAATCGCTGCCGGCGTCCAGCGCCGCGGTGGTGCCTGCGTCGTCTTGGCCCATTCCACGATCAGCGCCAATATGGAGGCGCACTTGGTCACAGTCGTCCGACTTTGCACTTTGAGTGCGAAGACAAAGTGGTTGATACACCCGGGGTGTTCGAGCCAGAGACTCACGGGTGTGACCTTGTCGAGCGTCGCGTTGTACAAGCTGTGGGTAGCATCGATGATGTGCTTAATGGATCCGACCATGCAGAGCACGGATAAGATCTGAAGGTAGATGACGGGCTGGAGATAGAGGTGGCCGGTGCGGTACCACTGGAGAAGGAAGAGCGCGCATTCACGCATGGCGACGCGATCTTGATGCGCACAGCTTTGTGCCCACATGTCGAGCGCCAAGCGAAAGAGACTGTTGGCCGTCGCGACGGCGTCGTCGGGTGGTCGAGTATCAGAGATCCAGAGACTGCCTCGAACGTTGACGACACTGCACTCTGTTGATGTCTCTGGAGACTGGGACGGAATATGATCGACCGAAGGACCTGTGGCCCAGTCCGCGGCTACGCTTTGGCGGCTGCGTGTACGACTTGCGATAAGCTTCAACAGCGTCGTCCGACGTCTGCTCATCCGTTCGACGACCACTGGGAGGATCTCACTCGATAGCTTGATACTTCGTGGTCGCAAAATGTGCTGACGGGGCGGACGGTCGCCATTGGCCCGATCCTTGAGCCAATAGTTTAGCGGAATTGCCGTCGACACATCACCAATCACAGGCAGTGGAGCTTGTGCAACAAAGCTCTACAAAGATTTACATCAATACCGACCATTGAAAAATCAACAGTTGCGTATACCTCGATGTGACTAAACCACAGTGTTCGTAGCGCATGCAAACGACAAAGCGGCGCATGCACCGGGCCATGCGTCAGCCGCCGTAGCTCCTCCAGCAACGGTTCGTGGTCTGTCTCCACAATGCGAATCGGGCTGGCGTACAGTGCGGCGACGGCGCCGACCAACTGGATCCTCGGCGATTCGTCCTTGAGTAGCTGAACGATCGAGACGTTGGGAATGTGAAACAAGCGCGCGCGGCGCTCATTGATCTTCCACGCAGCGCCGCCGATGAGTGGCAGCGGTACAAGTGTATAGAGCAATGTTGAGAGACTCGCGTCGGTCGTCAAGACACAAATGGACGCGAGCGTCGTGTAGATTGCACTTGAGAAAGCCAGCACGCGAATGTTGTTGGGGACGCTTCCGCTGCCAATGCACTAGTACAACAATGTACATAGACATCAATATTGTCATGAGAAAAGAATTGAATGAGCCAAGTACCGGCTGGGTGCGGTACGAGTACTCGAGGAGGAAGCCCCAGACGACGAGGAGACCAGTAAGGAGGCCGATGGTCTCATTGCGGCTGGCGTCCATATTGCTGGCGAGAATCGACATGATCGGACTGACTAGATGGCCACATTTGCTAAATGTACAACATGAAGTAGAGAGTGTACGTGTCCGGGCCATGACGATGAAAAACTGGTAGCTTGGCTGAAAACGAAAATCCATGGTCGTCGCCCGCGGCTCGACATTCATCTTGTGGTGCAGCGCACCGCAATAGTGCAAAGCGAACGAGATCAGTCCGAGCGCCTACACACAGTCTCTGTCAAGACATGTCATAACTAGACTCTATATAGTGCATTGAGGCAACCCAAAAGTAGCCAAAGAGGTCGACGCAGTCGCAGACAAACCCGCCGGGCAACGCAACGTGCTCGACGTCTTTTGGGCACGTCCCAAAGCGAAGAAAGGTCGCAACGATTGGGATATAAAACAAATCGTAAGTCAGTGGCTGCAGCAGTCGCTGGCGAAGGTCGCTGCCTACACAATTTGTGACGCTACAGTAGATACGCCTGAGATTGTACGTACATCGCTTGGCACTGTGCGTGAGAAGCATCAACCCGCCGCACGAAAAGGCGAGGAGGACGTCGGCCACCTACATGATACGAGTCTTCTCGTGTAGTTACAAGGCATTTACCTCGTGCTTGAAGTTGAAGACACTGAAGAGGTACTTCAGTTCGACCACAGAGCCCGTAATCCGGAACGCAAGACCCAGCGGCACGAGAGCAAACTCGGGAAGCTCTGCCCACATGGCCAACAGCCGCATCGCGCGCTGGAACTGCTGTTGCCGCAGCGACCGGTATTTGCGCTGCGAGAGTGCGATCGCGATGCCTAGTGTGACGCTGTTAGGTACTAGCTCGATCGTTGTTGCAGAACGCACCTTGGGCGATATGGTCGTGAACGGACGTGGCATCCCTTCGAAAGAGACCATGAAGAGCTCCGTTGCGCCGAAGCATGTACAGCCCCAGGGCGATCCACACGATGAGGTAGAGACAGACAGGGGCCAGGCGTAGCCAACTGCAGCCGCATTGATTCCAGTCCGCGATGGTGCAAGAACCGCCATCGCTAGTGAAGCACCGGGGGGGCATGGAGCACAACGCCACGTACAAAACCGTACAGGTAATCTATTTCAAGACCAAATTACGATTGCCGTGGGAATAGAGAGGATATATTACTCCGCCTGCCTAAATCAAGTCCCTCAACCGAGTACACACAACGAAGAAAGTCCGACAATTTTATTTAGCATAGTTTTATCTATTGTAATAGACGACCCACTTCAACAACAACGATTGCCGTGGGGCTTGGCCTACAAATGCACACAGAACAGATGGTCCCGACTCGGAGGCGTTTGCATGCTACATGCCTCCCTCACCCTCCCTTACCCCAGGGACTGGTAGAACACACCTCCTTACCCCCAAAACCCCCTGAACCCGGCGCTTTGATGAGCATGAGTACCCTCAAACCCTCCAAACCCCGTTGGGGCAGATGTTGGCGCATTACACACACCTTCTTTCTGGCCAATCAAAACCCACCAAATCCATGTGGACCGTCTACTCTGTGTGCAGTTAAGCTATTTGTTGCCGTAGCCGTTCTTGATAACTCAATCGATCGACCTCCAATACAAGGAGAAAGACACAGTATGCACGCCACAGCCAGTCCGATTGCGCGACGCGCCTGCGTGCCGCCCCCACCGACCCGCATCTGTGCAATATGGCACACAGGATGGCACATGGAAAGTGTGCGATCGCCATATCGATAGGATGAAGAGACATCAAGCACTGCGCTGGGTAAAGGACGGCATCATGGTGCCCGCCGTCTGCGTGCCATAACGAGTCGGTAGCACTGCCATTCCGCACGTGCTTTCTCGTGGTCTTGGACGGGCCATGGACCTCAGTCTTGTTTGTATCAACATTGTACAACACCCATTTCCATTTCTTTAAAGTGGTGTTTATGCCAAGTACAAGCACCGCGAGAGGCGGCGACTACCGTCGCCACCACGGTAACCTGCGGTGTGCCGGCGTGGGCGCTACATAACCTGACACGTGTGGCACAAAGAAGTCGTAGATGGCCGGGTCCAGCGCCGTCTCGACAAAGTCGTGGATCGCGCACTCGAGCGACGCGTTGTATAGATCGATGGCCTTTTGGATCACGTCGGTGAAGCCAAACCGCACGCTTTCAAGTCGAGCCGTCGCGTGCAAGTCGTAGGCACAGGCAAGAATCTCGATGAACTTTTCGCGCTGCGACCGCCGTTGGTCCACGGCAGCGAGGACCTCGAGCTTGACAACGGCCGGCGTCATCTCTGGTGGCTGGGTCCGCAGCGGAGCCCGTCGAGACCGAATACCCAACGCCCCCACCGACGCATTTAGTCGAAGAGGCATCAACCTGACCGACGCCAATTGCTCGGTGACACTACTTCGTCGTCGCCTAACCGTCGCGCTGCGCACGATCATACTTGTCACTTTGCGTTGCGCTGGTGGCTCGGGCACCGGACTGACCGCCGACCATCGCCATGGACGCGGCGAAACAATTGGTCGTTGCGAGGCCTCGGCTGGTGCCACCGCCTCGCGACTCAACGCAGACTCGCCAGTTAGCGTCAAGACGCTTTGGTAGCTGCGCAATACTTGTTTCAACGGCGCGAGATCCAGTCGTGCAGTCGCTGGCTCAGCCTCTAAGCTGACGGACGAGTACTGGGGCGACAATGCCTTGTGTCGTTGCGCGGCCTCGGCTGGTGCCACCGCCTCCCGCCTCAACGCAGACGCGCCAGTGAGCGTCGAGACGGTTGGACAGCTCCTCAATACTTGTTTCAACGGTGCGAGATCCAGTCGTGCAGTCGTCGGGTGAATCTCAAAGAGGTACGTGTACACGCGCTCAAGACAGTCGCTGATCCGGTACACGTGCGGCCAGGCGGCCAGCGCCACCTCGACGCTCTCGATCGCTGCCGGCGTCCAGCGCCGCGGTGGTGCCTGCGTCGTCTTGGCACACTCCACGATCAGCGCCAATATCGAGGCGCACTTGGTCACAGTCGTCCGACTTTGCACTTTGAGTGCAAAGGCAAAGTGGTCGACACACCCGTGGTGCTCGAGCCAGAGACTCACGGGTGTGACCTTGTCGAGCGTCGCGTTGTACAAGCTGTGGGTAGCATCGATGATGTGCTTGGTGGATCCGACCATGCAGAGTGCGGATAAGATCTGGAGGTAGACGACATGCTGGAGATAGAGGTGGCCGGTGCGGTACCACTGG